CAGATAAAAGGTCCAGAGTTCATTTTAAGTGTGCTGTTTGCATTTGGAATCTGTTGCTGTCAACTCTCAAGATGAGATCCAAAGAGATGTCACTATCAGTGAAGCAAGCCATCATTAGGCTGAAAAAACAAAACAAACCCATCAGAGAGATAGCAAAAACATTAGGCGTGGCCAAAACAACTGTTTGGAACATTCTTAAAAAGAAGGAACGCACCGGTGAGCTCAGAAACACCAAAAGACCCAGAAGACCACGGAAAACAACTGTGGTGGATGACCGAAGAATTCTTTCCCTGGTGAAGAAAACACCCTTCACAACAGTTGGCCAGATCAAGAACACTCTCCAGGAGGTAGGTGTATGTGTGTCAAAGTCAACAATCAAGAGAAGACTTCACCAGAGTGAATACAGAGGGTTCACCACAAGATGTAAACCATTGGTGAGCCTCAAAAACAGGAAGGCCAGATTAGAGTTTGCCAAACGACATCTAAAAAAGCCTTCACAGTTCTGGAACAACATCCTATGGACAGATGAGACCAAGATCAACTTGTACCAGAGTGATGGGAAGAGAAGAGTATGGAGAAGGAAAGGAACTGCTCATGATCCTAAGCATACCACCTCATCAATGAAGCATGGTGGTGGTAGTGTCATGGCGTGGGCATGTATGGCTGCCAATGGAACTGGTTCTCTTGTATTTATTGATGATGTGACTGCTGACAAAAGCAGCAGGATGAATTCTGAAGTGTTTCGGGCAATATTATCTGCTCATATTCAGCCAAATGATTCACAACTCATTGGACGCCGCTTCACAGTGCAGATGGACAATGAACCAAAACATAATGCAAAAGCAACCAAAGAGTTTTTTAAGGGAAAGAAGTGGAATGTTATGCAATAGCCAAGTCAATCACCTGACCTGAATCCGATTGAGCATGCATTTCACTTGCTGGAGACAAAACTGAAGGGAAAATGCCCCAAGAAAAAGCAGGAACTGAAGACAGTTGCAGTAGAGGCCTGGCAGAGCATCACCAGGGATGAAACCCAGCGTCTGGTGATGTCTATGCATTCCAGACTTCAGGCTGTAATTGACTGCAAAGGATTTGCAACCAAGTATTAAAAAGTGAAAGTTTGATTTATGATTATTATTCTGTCCCATTACTTTTGGCCCCTTAACAAGTGGGAGGCACGTATGAAAACTGTTGTGATTCCTACACCGTTCACCTGATTTGGATGTAAATACCCTCAAATTAAAGCTGACAGTCTGCAGTTAAAGCACATCTTGTTCCTTTCATTTCAAATCCATTGTGGTGGTGTATAGAGCCAAAAATGTTAGAATTGTGTCGATGTCCCAATATTTATGGACCTGACTGTACATCGGTGGCAGTCAAAGTATTACAGAGTCCTTGTTTGTGGTGCTCTACAAAATTGTTATCTGATATTGCTTGTTGCTATTACCATTTTGTATGTTGCTTTGTGGGGAGTATTTCCCAAAATAAAACCTTTTTCTTTAGCCCTGGCTCACACTGGATGCTTATCTGTTCACATCATATGCGATTCCAGTGTGTTTTTGCAAGGTCTTCTGTGTGTTACTGAGAGTGAGACCTAGGGTATTACTCAAAAAACACAACTGTTTGAAAATCGCAGGAAAAACACCTTGGTATTCAAGCTGATCCGCAGATGAATTGCACCGTAGGTGCTTCTGGAATCACACTGAAGGAATTTGCACCGCTTCAGTGAGAACCTAGCCTTAGCCTTGGTGTGTCAGAGGGTGTGGCATTGCAAGAAGGGTCATTGTCATCCAGAATCAGGGAATCCATCCATCATTGGGGCATGAAAATAAATTCATTTCTTACAGGGCTGACAGCATTAGTGCCACAAAATGTGTTGTTACCTCATCTGCAAGCTATTCTCCCCACTGATTTGAGCGTACCTTCTATGTGAAAGTAGATTCTCAACATAAAAATATATATTTTTTTACTAAACAAACAGTTATTTTGCTAGGCCTAGGCCTACACAGTAATGTACTAGATAAATACAGTATATAGGACCATACTAAAGGCAGGAATAAAAAAGGTAGTGCTATTTAAAACCTAGCCCTGGTTCACACCGAAAAGCGATTTCAAAGTGGTGCAATTTGGTCCCATTTGAAGCACGAATTCATAGTGTTGATATAGACACAGGTGCGATTTCAGTGGCAGTTACCTCATAGTCTATGAGAGTATAATCCCACTGAAGTGGTGAAAAAGTAGTGCAAGAACTATTTTTCAAATCGCGCTACTTGAAATCGCACCTATTAAGACAGTGTCATAGAAATACATTCTTCAGGTGCGATTTGTAAATTGCATGCCGCACCTGAAGTTCCAGGGGTGTGAACCGGAACTTACTGTTCACCATTATTCTGTTTACTTACACCTCAGCACGGATAAGGTAATTTTTTGGAATTGTTTGTTCAGTGTTTGCAATAGTGTATACATATGACAGCAAGTCTAGTACATGCAGTCAAGCAATACTCCTCTTTGCCTTCCTATTGGTCAGTGAAGTCAACCAACACAATTAATGGATAACAAGAAGGCAAGAGATAAGGCTTCCCATGGATCAACCATAGATGCTGTGGTCACTATTGGAATAGTAGGGCACTCTAAAGATAAAATAATTATCTGAGCATGCACCTGGTAAAATCTGTTCTACGGAACATTGGCCACCATATAATAAAATGGGAGCCCATAATGTTACTTGATGGACTTTATAGGCCTGAGTCCAAGTCAGGTGGAATGAATGCCAGAAGTTAATACATTCTCAAGCCTTGAGAACCTCTCTGTCAAGGGGTTTGGTGAGCCTACTGTGTCACCAGTGGTGATAGCAGACTTCAGGCAGAACCAGGCATAGTAATCAGAGATGAGGTAAGTATATCAAGCATAGGCTTAAAAGAGATCTAAAGGCAAAACTTATTTTTAATTTTGGATAGAGTAAGGGAGGGTTAAAATAGCTATTGTTTTGTGTCCCATTTGGGATATTTCCCTTCACTTTGTGTCCCATAGTCAAAAAAGTAAGTGAAAGGAAATCCCTACAAAGTACAGCAATCCCTGGTTGTCACCTGGGTTACCAGAACTAGTGTCCCCATTGTCACTGATCTGGTGACAACCCAAAATTTGAGATATCCTTTTACTTTAACAATTGGTGATAACCATAAACAGGATACATTTAGGTGTCCGTTTATGACACAGAGAATAGCTGCGATCAACGGATCTCAGCTATTTTCTAGTCATTCACAGTTTATGACACTCAGGAGATCATGTCAGCCCTTCACTGGAGATCTGTGTTCTCCCTCCAGATTCTCCAGCCCAGAGCTGGAGAATCAGAGGGACCGCAAACTAAGCAGAGATAATTTACCTCTGTTTAGTAAACTGATCTTTTACTGTAATCTCACGAGATTATAGTAAAATCAGCCGTTTTCCAGAGTTTGTAGACCGTTCTCCAGCGTTTGGAGACCGTTTTCCCTTCGTTCGGAGAACCGCTTCATAAACTGCATTCACAGGAGAACTGTGTTCTCCGAGAATGCCGGAGAACTGAGCAGCGATCTATTACTGCTGGTTCATAAACGGACACCTTAGAGGGTGAATCTCCCTAAAGGGGTCACAGTAATGAAAAACCTGACAGGTTATCTAATTACTCTCCATTTTTTCCAAAACTAGAAAAAAGTTAAACTTTAGGGCAGACAGCAGAATAACAAGGTCATATGATGTTCTAGAGGTCAGTGCAGGTATCAGGTGGAATCAAAATCCAAATCACAGTCCAAGTCATAAACAGTGATCCAAAATGCTTGGTAGCCAGACAGGTATCAGTCCATTTAAGCACTCTTAATGAGGTCAGGTATGCTCTGCTGCATGGCCTGAGCTGCAGTGCCAAGTATATGCCGGCCGCATGTAACAGAAGCTCAAGGATGACCATCACATGCTCAAGGTATTTACATGCAATAGTCATAGTTTCCCAAAACAAAAAGCATGTGCTTGGTCCACTGGTATTACATGGGAGCATGGAGGAAAAGTCTTCAGCCCTGTGACCAAAACCTTACAAAGAAACATTTTAATTTGCTCATAGCAGATAGGGTATCAAAAGAAATGTGATAGAATGGGGTGGGATGGGATGGAATGGGGGCATTAAAGTTCTCTGTTGTGTTGCCCTGCATGGGCAAAAGAAAGGCTGCTTTAATAAACTCACATTGGACATAAGGTTGGGCAAGACAATTACTAGTTTCCTATGACCTACAAGTCTTGCATCTTGTCTTCTGCTCATGGTTCCACTGCCAAATCCACCAATGACCATTCAGCATGACCAGTGAAGGGATAAGTGAACATTATGTGGCTTAGTTAAAGTAATTGTAAAGGATCAAAAATGTTTTTTCAATAAGAAACATTTTATACTGCCTGCTCTGTACAAGTTTTTGTACAGAGCAGCCCCAATCCTCCTCTTCTGGGGTCTTCCGTCGGCAATTCTGGCTCCTCCCCCTGCCAAGTGCCCCCTTAGCAAGTCATTTGATATTAATGAGGTGGGAGAGAGCCTGAGAGAGCCTTATCTCTCTTGCATATCCCTCGATCAAGATCACACTCAAATAAGTGGGGGGGAGCTTCATGCAGAAGGGTTTTTAACCTTAATGCATAGAATGCATTAGGGTAAAATAGCCTTTTGCCTTTAAAACCACTTTAATATCATACGGCATGATATCTATGATTAGACCTTAGACCTTTACTGATAATGCAGAAATTGTCCACTATTAATGTCAAGCCCATCAATGCTTCTGAAATGTTAAATACTGTTTCATGTTAACAACTTCTGCCAAATACATGGAGAAAAAGTGGAAAATTTTAGACTGCCCAGGGTATTTCAGATTTTAACTAGGTTCAGGAGCCTTAATTGAATTTTTACAAAATAAATAACAGTGAAAAAAATAAAACTGACTGGAAAAATATAGAAAAAAAATATGTCTGGTATATTTATTCATAGCACATACCAGCTCTTTTGGACACATAGAAGGATCCCACTGTTCTTCAACAGTCTTCAGCAGTGTTAGCAGATAACTGTAGTCCATGGGGTGCGCTTGGTGGTGTTTGCTGAAAGCTTGCCATTTTCTATTAATTAGGAAGAAAGTAGGTCAATTCTTCTGAAAATGACAAGGCAACATCTCAAATCACAGTCTCATTTTGGATGAGTTAATTTTAATGTGCATAAATACAATTAAATAGGAAAACTCATCAACTGAGCAGACATTAGATATAAAGGATGACACTGTGCTTTATAATATATCATCATTTAGTTTTTACACATGGGTCCCGAGTTAACTCTGTTATATTGAGTAAGTTCAGAGCTAAAACATTTTTTCCTGTGTATAGCTGGGTGAGTATAATTTTTAAAGTAACTTTTCCCTTCAAAGTGCTGCCACCGAGACATATATATCATGACGCCCATCCTCACTCAAAGCAAAAAGACTGAGAAATCCTATGAATGCAGGGTGTTGCGGACCTACCAATTAAAGAGGGTGTCACCACAAACGCCATGTGCTCACATGCAGCTTTCTGCATCACTGATGACTGCCTACTGAAAAGAGAAGCCCCAGAGATAAAGAGGATCCTGGCCATCACCAGCAAGTGACCTGTGTAAGTTTGGGCAAGTAGAGGGCATGAAGTCATCACAGGCAGGAACTGTATCTGACAGCTGCAGTGAGTGATCCTAATGCCGGCTCAGGAGCACCCGCTTAGGCTGGCCATACATGTGTAGATTTTCGTTCAAGAATTTTAGTTTCAAGAATATTCATTTGATTTGCAAACTGTAAGGCCCCATGTACACGGGACACTTCTGAACGATGGAAACTGACTGCTGGAAAATGTAGGTTAAAAAACGTCTGTTTAGCCGTGTTTGCATAACGAGTTTATGCATGTTTGCGTTTAGAAGCGGTTTTTAAAGATAAGCACAGGAGAACCTCCCAAATGCCCAGAATGCACTGGAAAGTGGTAAATTATTAACTATTTCAGACTGTTTCAGAGAAATACACACAGTAGAAGCAGAGACAGCAGTATGTGTTGAGATAATTAGGTGTGAGTTGCTCATTAACGTTTCTTTTGTTTCCAAGGGTGGGAAAGGTGGAGTGAGTCAATAAGCTCACGTGGCAGGGGGTCTGCATGAAGAATTTGTGGTGTGCATGGTCATTAACATATCTTTTGTTTCCAAGGGTGGGAGAGATCTGAGGTGTGAATTGGTCATTACAATGTGTGACAAGTTTGGTCGGAACATCCTGTTTTTAGTGTTCTGTCCATTTGAGCACCTTGAAAACTCTTTGCATGCATTTTTCATGATGAAAAAAGCCTCTGGACAGCATCGGGAACTGGAAGAGGTAAAAAAAAAATTTCAGACGCAAACGCTTATAAAACGCGATTTGCCGCATTTACAAGCGTTTGCGTTTGAAACGCTGATAAAATCAAAGGCTGATCGCAAGTTTTCTGCGTTCAAAAAAATTACTGTAAACTCAAATGCCTGCAAACGACTGTAAACGAAGATGTGTACAAGGACACATAGGAAAACATTAGGGTGAGTTCAGGGGCTGCTGAAAAAAATGCTGAACAGCTCCTAAACATGAGTTTATCAGCTGCAGTGTACATGAGCCCTAAGTGATGTCAAAACGATATTTGTTTTCGACAGCAGCAGAAGGGGCAGGAAGGAAAACTTTTTTTGATCAAATGAATTTTTGGCCAGTATATGTGGTTATCGCTCAGAAATTATATTCATTTTAAACTTGAATGTTAAACGCAAACGACACATTTTTGAACGACATTCGTTCATTTATCAAATGTTCAAAGAATTTTCGTACGACTTTTCGTACAAATATTCTCGTACGAAAATCCACACGTGTATTGGTCATACATGTATTGGGGCTTTAGTATGACAGATGGTGTATATTTAAGCATAGAAAAGTGACAGCAGAAAAAAAGACTAAGTGGCTCATTGAGTCTGCTCTGTTTAGTACAGTGTCTGCTGTCACCGCTCTACCTCGTGGCTGCACTCTACGTCTGACAGGAGGCGGTAACGCGTTTCAAAGGTGTTTCTTCTTTGTGGTGACATGCTGCACTCTACTCGCCCACACTGACACAGAGCTACATTAATGTAAGTGAGCTAATTTTTGGAGTCAATAAATGTTACTATATTTTTCACGAGATCCTGCGCTCTTGTCTTATTATTTTCATGCTCAGCTCCAATCTGCCCAGATAACTGATGGCAGCTGCAGGATGCCTGGCTGCCTGATATATGGTCCTCTCCTCTACCTCTCTACACCTAAACTAGCTGGTTCATATTCCATTTTGGGGACGGGAAGGCAAGGTTCACTGTGTGCTGTGGTGAGTTGTTTATATTATAAAAAAAAGTAATCATAAAATACTGCTGGGGGGCCTCCACTGGGGAGGGGGAGCACAGGAGGAGTTGGGCTTTAAACTGTGCAGCAATGCGCAAAAAAAAATGTACATCATGGCCATCAATCCAGACAGACAATCCTAATCTCCTGCTTCGGGGTGTTAGCTGGTTGAAGAAGATGCACACGAGTTGTGTTTATACATAATGGTATGCAGCTTTTTTTTATTTGAGTGATTCTTGGATACTGATCTATTTGTACCCATGCTGGCTTAGGGATCAAATTCATGAAATAGTAAGTTGTATCATGTTGGCTTCCCTTGTCCTGAAGAAGGTGGCAAGACCAGGGAAACGTGTATTATTATTATTATTATTATACAGGGTTTATATAGCGCCAACAGTTTGCTCAGCGCTGTACATTATAATGGGAGACAGTTCACGAGACAGTACAGTAACAATACAACTCAATACATGAGGGGTTTGAGGGCCCTGCTCCTTGGAGCTTACAATTTAGGAGGGAGGGGATAGTGGTACAGGAGGAAATAGCTGTGGGGAATGCAATGGTAGAAAAAGTGGAGGAGATCGGCAGTTAGCTGAGGGCGGGGTAGGCTTTCCTGAAGAGATGGGTTTTCAGTGTGGGCCTAAAGGTGAGGAGAGTAGGTGATAGTCTGATGGATTGGGGTAGGGAGTTCCAGAGGATGGAGGAAGCCCTGGAGAAGTCCTGGAGATGGGCATGGGAGGAGGAGACCAGGCAACTAGAGAGTAGGAGGTCTTGTGAGGAGCGGAGAGTACGTTTTGGGTGGTATTTGGATACCAGATCGGTGATGTAGTTTGAGGTAGTATTATGAACAGCTTTGTACATCAGTGTTAGCATTTTGAATTTTATCCGTTGGGCAATCAGAAGCCAGTGGAGGGATTGGCAGAAGGGGGTGGTGGATACGGAGTGGTTAGTAAGGTGGACATGTAGATGCCTTATGGGATACCCCTTTGTAATCCTGAATACTATGTATGGTTGTAATTGTTGACCTTTGTGATATCATTTTGTAATCATGTATCCAGTGTGTAGTTATGATTGTTGACAGACATGAATCCAAACTTTCTATACAGTAGTATTGTTAGTTTTACATTACAGGGTAATAAGTTGTTACTCCCATGTTTTCACGGTGTTGGTATATGGTGAATAAATGTGACATTTATTTTTCTATTTGTTGTTGTTGGTTCATTCTCTGGTTGCATTTGCTGATATGACTGACAACTTCTTTTCTGTTATTTGTATAGAGCTGTTTTTTTCTATCAGCAAGGTCCGTGTTCAAATTTGGCTGAACAACTGAGCTTCTGACCAAGCTGTAACATTCACACTGAGAACTCTGTAGGGACTAGACTTAGAAGTTTGAGTATGAATGCTCCAATCATTATTTCTATACTTTACTCACAAAAAAAAGTATTTCCTTTATAAGCGTCTTTCTTTTTAAACTGTTGTTCACAAGAATGGTTGTATAAAATCTGCACTCTGGGAAAGCTCTATATAAACTCAATCTATTATGTCTTAATCAAAGCAACTTGTGATGATGAGGCAAAATAGTTTGCAGTGTAATAAAACCCCTCTGGTGTCTGGAGCAGAATAGTAAGAACCCTTCAGGTGTTGCTGCTGAATCAATAAGTATCCAGCATGCCCCTAAAGTGGATTAGATGGATGTGCCTGTGCTTTATTCCATATCACTGTAGTACGTGAATCAATGGAATCTGACATTTTCTCTCACTAGCTCTAGATGTCATTCAGAGGATTTAATAAAAGTTCCATGCAGTTCATCTGAGGTGTGAGCAGCTGAGGCAAGATTTAGCTTCTGACAAGATAAATGTCAAAAGTAAGAGGCACCTGGATGATGTTGTATCCAACAATGGATTTATGTCTTCATGGTTATAGGGACCATCCTCAGGCTTTTGCTTGAAAAAAAAAACTTGCTTAGTTGTCCATTGAGGTTTCTTTCCCCCTGATGTTTCCTTTTGTATCCCTTCTTTCTTCTGGTATATGACCAGTATCAAGCCTCGTCAGCACTTAACCCATTTTATTAAAGGAATATATAGTATATTTCCAGAAAGGATACATTTTAAATTACTACTGCAGTAATTAAACTGGCATTAAAAATGTAATATATTCCATCTTATCAATCCCCATCAAATGTGGTGGCTGCATTCGTTTTCTTTTTTAAGACTTGTTTCCTTTTTTTTCACCTGGTGATCCAACCAGTTACACACTTCTTGTCTTGAGGTGGCTCCACTCTGGATGGCGGAGCAATGGAACCACTTTTGACTGCAGCATTATCAATTTGGGGAGAGGGTAGTTTTAAATGCACTAGCAGATTTAGATCTTTTTAAGCAGTTACAGCTTTGCTTAATTTTCTTTTGGGATACATTTTTTACATAACTTATTAAAGGTTGCCTATTGTAAGCACAAGTTTCAGTGTTAAATGCTTTGTCTGAACCCTCCAACTGCCACTTTTATTAGACATCTTGTTCTTTTAAAGGAAGTTAAAGACAACTGGCTGGATCACAAGGTGAGAGTAAAGGAAAAAAAAACACACACAAAAAAAAAATGAAATCTAATGCACCTACCACATCTAAGAATTTGTTAGCTGTAATATATTACATTTTTGTTTTGTGGTTTAAGGCCTCTTTCACATGGGTGGTTTTACCACCTCTCCAAACTGCCCACCAATTGCCTACCATACAGAGTGGGCTGTTCACATGCTGTGGCTGTGATGCTTTGCTTTGCATGTCAAATTCCCATCTGTCAAATTCACCCACTCAAGTCAATGAGGTCATAGATGCAGCACATTAGTCCCTTTGAAAAAAAAAATACAGGCATTCAGGATGTGTCTTGCGTGCCTGAATGCAGTTACAAGTTTGAACCTAGCCCACCGCATCAAAGGAAAATTGTGACTTGCGCATTTTTTACAAGATTTCTCTCCTTTTTTATATTATAAAATCGTTAGAAGCTTGTAGAATGCCCACTAGGACCAGAGTGGATTAGCCACCACAGAGACTCAAATTGCTTAACAGCTGTTGAGAGAAGATAACAACCATACAGGGAATGCATTTTTCAATGAGTTGGCCAGCTCATAGACTTGAATTGTAAGAATTGCTTGTATAGCACAATCATTGTGTCACACTCCAAAGGAGAATTAATGAGCAAATATGGTTTTCCCTATTTACATTCCAAATGATACAAAGATACAGGTGAAACTAAAAAAATTAGAATAAAGTGCTAAAGTTAATTTATTTCAGTAATGCAACCTAAAAGGTGAAACTAATATATGAGATAGACTCATTACATGTAAAGCAAGATAGTTCAAGCTGTGATTTCTGATAATTGTGATGATTATGGCTTACAGCTCATGAAAACCCAAAATCCACAATCTCAGAAAAGTAGAATATTGTGAAAAGGTGCAATATTCTAGGCTCAAAGTGTCCCACTCTAATCAGCTAATTAAGCCATAACACCTGCAAAGGGTTCCTGAGCCTTTAAATGGTCTCTCAGTCTGGTTCAGTAGGAATCACAATCATGGGAAAGACTGCTGACCTCACAGTTGTGCAGAAAACCATCATTGAGACCCTCCATAAGGAGGGAAAGCCTCAAAAGGTAATTGCAAAAGAAGTGGGATGTTCCCAAAGTGCTGTATCAAAGCACATTAATAGAAAGTTATGTGGAATGGAAAAGTGTGGAAGAAAAAGGTGCACAAGCAGTAGGGATGACCGCAGCCTGGAGATGATTGTCAGGAAAAGGCCATTCAAAAGTGTTGGGGACTTTCACAAGGAGTGGACTGAGGCTGGAGTCAGTGCATCAAGAGCTACCACACACAGACGGATCCTGGACATGGGCTTCAAATGTTGTATTCCTCTTGTCAAGCCGCTCCTGAACAACAAACAACGTCACAAGCGTCTTACCTGGGCTAAAGAAAAACAGACCTGGTCTGTTGCTCAGTGGTCCAAAGTCCTCTTTTCTGATGAGAGCAACTTTTGCATCTCATTTGGAAACCAAGGACCCAGAGTATGGAGGAAGAATGGAGAGGCACACACTGCAAGATGCCTGAAGTCCAGTGTGAAGTTTCCATAGTCTGTGTTAATTTGGGGAGCCATGTCATCTGCTGGTGTTGGTCCACTGTGCTTCATTAAGTCCAGGGTCAATGCAGCCGTCTACCAGGAGATTTTGAAGCACTTCATGCTTCCTTACGCAGGCAAGCTTTATGGGGATGCTGACTTCATTTTCCAGCAGACTAGGCACCTGCCCACACTGCCAAAAGCACCAAAACCTGGTTCAATGACCATGGGATTACTGTGCTTGATTGGCCAGCACACTCACCTGACCTGAACCCCAAGGAGAATCTATGGAGCATTGCCAAGAGAAAGATGAGAGACATGAGACCAAACAATGCAGAAGAGCTGAAGGCCTCAATTGAAGCATCCTGGTCCTCCATAACTCCTCAGCAGTGCCACAGGCTGATAGCTTCCATGCCACGCCGCATTGAGGCAGTAATTGCTGCAAAAGGGGCCCAAACCAAGTACTGAGTACATATGCATGCTTATACTTTTCAGAGGTCCGATATTGTTCTATGTACAATCCTTGTTTTATTGATTGCATGTAATATTCTAATTTTCTGAGATTGTGGATTTGGGGTTTTCATGAGCTGTAAGCCATAATCATCACAATTATGACAAATCACGGCTTGAACTATCTTGCTTTGCATGTAATGAGTCTATCTCCTATATTAGTTTCACCTTTTAAGTTGCATTACTGAAATAAATTAACTTTTGCACGATATTCTAATTTTTCAAGTTTCACCTGTACATGATTATTTAAAACAAGGGTTTTTTTCAGTGGGAACATGGGGATATGCATTTTAGGCACCTCTAGTACTGAATGGGGTGCTGCAGTGTGCTGGAGGGTCTACTGATGCTGGCTGCTAGGGGATCTATTGTTGCTGGGCAGCTTTTTTGCTTTTGGTGAGAATCTATTGTCCTGGAGGATCTATTGTTGCTGGGGAGGGTCTTATGTTGCTAGGAGGACAATTGTTGCTGGTAGGAATCTACTGTTGAGAGAGGGGTCTGCTGTTGCTGACTGCTGGAGGGTCTAATGATTCTAGCTGCTGGGAGATCTACTGTATTGTTGCTGGGGGGAAGCTATTGTTGCTGGGGGGAAGCTATTGTTGCTGGCTGCAGGGGATCTATTTCACTTCTTTTCTTGTCATCGTTAAATTCCATACAAATTGGGTAGCATCACAAATTGATACTTGGTTCAGTAGTCTCTAAAAGGGGCAGCCCTGGGAGATGTGTAGGGGGTGGAACCAAGGTACAGTGCTTGGAGATGGGGGGAGGGGAGGGGGGAACAAGGGGTGACTTGGAAGGGGGAAGTACCTGCATCTCTTCTCTGAGAAAAAAAAAAGCCCTGATTAATACATTTACACACTGATAAGATTAATTCCATCTAACTGATTTCTGTTGCATATTCAGTATGTCTAAATACATTAATTCACACTGTTGTATGGAAGTAAAGAATAAGGCTTGGAGCTAGTTGCGCAGCATTAGGTGGAGGACCTGACATGACTAGGTTGGCAGGATAGGCGGAACATCTTAGGGTTAATAGAGGAGTTTGGTTTGAAATGGGAAAGTAGTAGCTGATTGGAGGGGGCTTGGGTGGGGCTTAAGAGGGGCCGGATGGCCGGGAGAGTTAGTAGGGCGGTTCCAAAGTGGGCGGAGTCAGTCGGAGCTTGGACAGCGTAGGACAAGTTTCTCTCACCCTCCCTCCTGCACGCTGGTGTGAGAGTTCTATGTTTGAGGGGCTCATCTTTAGTGGTCCTTCCTGCCCTTTCAGTGGTTATGGGTGGTTTAATGGATGGGCGCCTTCCTGTGTTTTGTAAGGGTTTGCTTGTTTTCTGGGTGTCTTTGTCATGGCAGCTGGCAGGGGTCTCAGGGTCTTGGAAGGCAGTGACGGTTTTATCATTTTGGTGAATGGTGGGTTGGGCCCATCACAGGTATGGGTGTACCTACCCTAACAAATTTACTGTAGTAATGGTGCTGGAGTAAGTTGGCTGTATCAAGGTTAATTTTAGGAAATTATTCCCGAGTCGATGTATTTGCTGCTGGGGGCCTTGAACTCTATGTTGGTGGTAGATACAGCCGGTTGGTCAATATATAAGTTGCCTTCTAAGACCCTAGACTTTAAAGAGGTAATCCGGAGTAACAGGAAGGGGAGTAGTGATCAGGTGAATTATTACAAAGAATGTGTCATTTTGGAAAAATGTTGTAAAATTGTTGTTTAATAAAAATGGCTGCTGTGGCCTTTAAACTCCAATGCAGGTCAGTGTTGTTTTTTATCGGGGAAGTCACAGGTTTAGATGGGGGAGTTTGAAAGGTTTAGGAGCAGCCGTCATATCTGCTATACCTTAGTCATGTGCTTGTTACAGAAACACACTTTATGCATGTTGCTGCACTGTGGTGTACAGTAAACCACATTGCTGACAATGGCAAATGTCCTGTTTTTTGTGGACTTTGGTTCATTATGCAGCTCATGCAAATAATAGCACAGCCTTAACGCAATGCACATTATGCTCTGCACAAATATATGTAAATGTTCTTTCAAAAACATTATACATTATATTTAAGGCGCACAATCCTGCTATCTAGGGTTAATGAGACCTTATGTATGTAATGAGGTACTAAGACCCAGGGGCGGACTGACAACTCATGGGGCCCCGGGCAATAGGGGATCATGGGGCCCCTGTGTCCTTGCCCAAATTAAAAAAAAGCCTATGAAAAAGGTACCAGGGGCATCACATGGGGCCCCCTACTGACCCCAGGCCCTCGGGCAGTGCCCGAGCTTCCAAATGGTCAGTCCACCCCTGCTAAGACCTCATGCACACAGAACGTCAAAAACACAGCTTTTACAGGCTTTGACTTTCTCTTTTCTGCCTCTAAGCACCCCACTTTGTTAGCCTATATGCCCATGCACACATTGGTGTTTACAGGCATTTAGAGGCAGAAAGAAAAAAAATCACTTGCAAATTCAGAAGAGGAATGTTTGGACATAAAAACCATCAAATGTGCATAAATGTACATTAATGCTAGACGTGTTTAGGTACATTTGTGCATTTCCGCGTTAATGGATTGTAATGGCCAGAATAAATTAATATTCTGGTCAATAAAATGCATTAATGCCAAACGCGTGAGCGCACATGAACAATCATCAATGCGCATGCAAAAAGTGGCTTTAAGTGTGTTTTTTAAGCTATGATTTCCTCTCCTGGAACAAAGGCATTCAAAGGAGGAAAATAACCTGTATGAATGAGGCCTAAATCTGAGGAGTTTTGCTCTCTTTCAGTGAATAGTAGTTGAATATTATTGACATGTTATAAGACAGAGGTACGTAAGAAACAGGTTTAAATATCGTAACTACTGAAAATACTCACATAACAGCCTGCTGTAAACTGGACAGATCCGTCTGCATACTGTGGTGGGATGTAAGTGTGAATGCATGTTTGCTCATTTCTCCTTTCCAGTTCCAGAAGTCAACCTAAAATGAAACCGCCATCAGTATTTCCACATTGTGTCCAGTCGAAACTGCTGTGAAGGTCCTTTGTTAGGCCTAAATTGCATATATGCTGATTAGAGTATGGAAGCTGCCATTGCTGAGCTTTTGACTTCTGACATTTCTAATTCCATGGCTCAATACAGATTTGGTGTTCTGATTTCATTCTGAACTTCCTGATCTGCATGCTTATTTAAAGAATACTAACCTCTGGTTAACATATATGCAGCCATGCGGGCCACGTTCTGCACGGGAATGAGAGCCTATTCATTTGAATGGACTCCCGTGCCCCGTGACATGCAGGGAAGAAGTCCCTGCACTCCTTCTGAAAACGCAGCCCGCATGGGAACCTTGGTTTCCAGTACGGTTGTGTTTTCCAGTGCGGGTGGTGTGCTATTAGAACTAATGGCACCCGCCCGCGGGTCTGCATTCCTCTGTGCAGGTGGTGCACGGATTTTCGTACGGATCCGCAGCGGCACCACCCGTACATATGTGAACCTAGCCTAAAGGAATAGAGACCGTTCACTTAGCAAAGTAAATGTTCATTTAGCTTAGCAAATAAATTGAATCTGCGTTCACTTCAGTCATCCAATCACGTGCAAGGAAAAATTGTGTTTTTAAAATTTCCCTTGGATATAATCAGATATTCCAATGATACACAGTGTTACCTAATTTACTAAGCTAGGTGAACATACATTTCGTTCAATATTAATTCATTCCTTTGGTAAACCAACCCCAGTACTGAAATAAGAAACAGCCAAGCATCTACAGTGGGGCAAAAAAGTATTTAGTCAGCCACCAATTGTGCAAGTTCTCCCACTTAAAAAGATTTGCAAATAAATTCTTTCCAAATCAGCCAATGTGATTGTCTGGATTTTTTTTTCTCGTTTTGTCTCTCATAGTTGAGGTCTACCTATGATGCCAATTACAGGCCTCTCTCATCTTTTTAAGTGGGAGAACTTGCACAATTGGTGGCTGACTAAATACTTTTTTGCCCCACTGTACCTTAGATTGTACGCCCCCTGAGGGTTAGGGACTGATGTGAATGTAAAATATATATGTAAAGCGCTGCTATATAAGTACCTGAAATAACTAAATAAATCTAGCAATCCCAGAAGAAGATTAGAAATGACACCCTCAGTATTGCTCTTCATACAGGATTCCTTGCATGTCACTGCAAACTAAATGAATAACTGTGGAGGAATGGGAGTACAGCTGTAGGTAATGCTGACATGTGTCAGGCGATAGGAGGAACAAGGGGAGCTACATTTCTAGGCACAGCATACTGTAGGTCAAAGCTTCTCAAGCAGTGGTACACATACCCCCAGGCAGACTGCTGGAAAGTTCAAGAGGGGGGCTTCTGCTGGATACAGATCTATTTTTTGAGCTAATGATAAATCATTTAGAAAACCGACCTGTAGAAGTACTGTCAGTTCTCTGCAAGGCACATGGGGTAGTTTGGTAACCATGTGAATGTGAATGTGAATTGTATGGGAACCATTTATACATATCAGTAAAAGGTCTGAAAATAAACATCTGGATTTCATTGGGGAAAAATCCAGTAAAACCTTCCTCGCTGTATTCAGAAGAATGTTTTCTATGGAATTTTATTTCAGTAAAGCTAAGAAACACCTTCTGTAGGTAACCTGTGAGTTCCTGACAAACATAGACCTTGGCTGAGAACATTTAGAAGAATAAGTAACAATGATGAGTTCCAATAAGCTGTAATCTAACAAATTGCTGACTGCTTTCTGAAAATGGAAGTTGCTCTGCTCATCTCTCTCTGGCTTCCATGTTATCTGTGTCACTAACCTGGAAAATATATGAAGTCATTAAAAGCAGGTTTAGACACGTGCAGAACAACAAAAATTTTTTGTTTTGTTATTTAAATAATTTCATTTAGCTATACTCAATAAATTCATTAAATTTATTTCGGAATTCATTTAGTTTCGTTTGTTAATTTTTTTTAAATTGATTTGAATCTATTCTATTTGAAATTCAAATTTCGGAAGACGGTTATATTCTTTCTATTTTGTTCTATTGTTTTTTCTATTCTATTGTTTTCTACTCTATTTTATTCTATTCTATTCTTTTATTTTCTAGTGTATTTTATTCTGTTCTTTTCTATTCTACTCTATTCTATTCTATTCAAATTCAAATTTATTCTATTCACAATTCAACTCTCGGAAGATGGTTATATTCCTTCTATTTTATTCTATTCTATTGTTTTACTATTCTATTCTTTTCTATTCTATGCTTTTATTTTCCATTCTATTATTTTCTATTCTATTCAAATTTATTCTATTTAAAATTCAAATTTTGAAAGAGGGTTATATTCTTTCTATTCCATTGTTTTACTAGTCTATGCTTTTATTTTCTATTCTATTCTTTTATTATCTATTCTATTCTATTCTACTATTTTCTATTCCTTTATTTTCTATTCTATTATTTTTCTTTCTATTCTATTCTTTCTATTCTGTTGGTTTCTATTCAATTTTCTTATTTTCTATTTTATTTAATTATATTCTTTGATTTTCTATTCTACTATTTTTTTCTATTCTATTCTTAACTAATCTATTCTTTTCTATTCTATTCTTTTATTTTCTATCCTATTCTGATCTGTTTCATTAATTTTTTTCTATTCTATTCTAATCTATTCAATTATTTTCTATTCTATTTTATTCTATTATTGTTTTCTAATTCAATTCAGTATTTGAATTCAATTTCATCTTCATTTTCTAATTCGATTGAATTGTGGATGAAATTTTGTTTCGTTATTTCGAACTTGTTTAAATTTGTTACTATTTTTATTTGGAAGTTCAGATACATTGGAATCTCCAAATAACGAAAAATGTGTCCATATTTTGATTCAAAATGAGGTGAACCACACATGTCTAATCAGGTTGAAGTCAGAACCTCTAATCGTCATACCTGTTCCGTCTTATACATTGTAATATGGAAGAGAGCTTAGGATCACCAACCAGCCATTTGCAAAAGTGAAACAATCTTTATTGTTTATTTAAAATTCAGGAAAACAAAACAGCTATTCTTCAGGAAAGCAAAAGAATACAAACAGTCCACAGTTCTGGTATATAGGAAGCGATATTACATCTCGCTGCCAGAGTGCTAGTCCCACACCTAGGTTAGGGTTCCCTTCTGCTTCAGGGTCCCAGAAAAGCTGAAGGAGTAAACCAAATCTTAATTGTCAGCAGTCCACACTAACTCACAGCTGTGAACAACTCAACTCCAACTCATAGATAGGTACTGACTCTTTCCTGCTCCTTTTTGAACCTCCCTTTTGGGGGTGAGGAGGAGGGGGGGTTAACCCTTTCAGGACCAAAGTCCGTGTAATCAGGAGGCTCTTTACCAACCAAAGTCTCTCCAAGCCTCTAAATTCTAGGTCCTAAAGAGGGCTTTCCAATCCCAAGAGGACTACCAATCAGTCCTCTCCAACTAGACTACCCTGGATCCCCCCACCCTGCATGGGGGAGAATTCTCTGAGTACACAAAATGTCTCAAATGTCTCTTATTGTCTCCCTTAAAGCGGTTGTAAAGCTTCCAAACAATGGTTTTGCACAGAGACCTCTGGGGTCCCCTGCTCTCCACTCCTACTCTTCTTTGAGTGCCCCTGTAACAAGTCAGCTACTATGGGGGAACTCATGCATGTGCACTCCCAAGCCAGGACTGTGTGCCTTCAAAGACACATACACTGGCTCAGCCCTGCACTTGCTCTCTGCTTACAAGCTTTGACTGACAGCAGCAAGAGCCAAAGGCTTCCGCTGCTGCCAAGTCTCCTATGAGCAGAGAGGAGAAAAGAGCTGCTTCATACAGGACAGCGCTGGACCAAGTGAGGGCTCAGGAAAGTGTTTAAGAAAGGGGGGGCTGGTGGAGCAGATCTTGAAAGGTTTCTACCTTAATGCAAAAAATGCATTCTCGTGGCATTTAACTACAGAGGATTTTAGCAGAATGACTGTGCCACTAAAAAATTGCACAATCAGTTTGGCCTTGAATGAAAAGGTTGGTTGATATCGGTGTCTTTGCTTAATTTAGCTGAAGAAAAAAATACCTACCTCCCTGACGAAGGAATTGTATCTGTCAACGATAACACTCAACAACCTTCTGTCATTTTTATCTAGAGTTGTCAGAAATATCCAGAGGCAGCAGCTTGTTAAGTAGACATGCACTCACCTCTGCCTGCTTGTGTTCATACTGGAGCAGCTGGGTGAGCAGCATTTCATGAATCACAGCGCCAGATGCCTTCTTGCTTAGCACCATGTCCCTCTGAAAAACATTAGTTAATTCAGACATTTACACCATGCTATTTGTTTTAATATTGGTGGAATCAAATTACAGCTGAGACCTGTTTCCTGGCAAAGTATGCAGATGAGAAGATTGGGCATTTAACACGTAGATAAAATCATTTAGTACATTTTTCAGACGGCGGGTGTGAAAATTAAACGCTGTTCTAAAAACAGCATTAAGAAACTGAAATGTGCTGCTTATGTGGCATGCAAAGGCTTATGTTTCTTACAAATCCATCCTATCATTAATCCTTTGTCCTTCATATCACAGTATCATGCTGCAATACATATTTTTAAAATTCTTTTGAGTTAAAGATAATTGTTTGGTACAGGCCACATGTTTTACTTAATTAATGGTTTACCCCCTGAATAAATCTGTATTTATATCAAAGATATTTATATTGCTTTTTTTTTTATTCCATCTGTTGGCCAGGCATTCTGCACATCTATTTTTCTGTCAAATAATAATTGAACAAACCCAGGCTGAGAGGTTGTGGCAGAACATAGGTTTTGAGGCTGCAAGTTTGAGGAAGAATAACAAAAAGATAAGTATAATCATACATTTACTGTCCAAATCTTGCCGCCTCCGTACATCCCCAAAATACACCCCTTCCTAACCAATGACACTGCAAAGCTTCTAATTCACTCCCTAATTATTTTGCACCTCTACTATTGCAATTCCCTCCTCACTGGCCTACCTTTACATAAGAAATTCCACCTGTAACCCATTGAAATGTTATTACTCGCAATACATTAAAACCAGAGGGCCTGTGGACTGGCCTATCCATGGTGAAAGATGGATCGTGGACATCTGCTGAACCACATTGGGTGAGAGAGACCCATGTGCGCACTAACAAAGTGAACATTGATAGCTTGTCACCTCAGTTATCTGCTTGCACATAGTTGTGAATATCACATACTGTTGCCCCAGTTTGTGACATAGTTGTGCCAGCGCCATGTTTGGAACATATCTGCATTACAGTTATTGTTCAAGCTGATGGCAGGACATACAGTCACAAATAAAGACACAGCAGTGCTAACTAAATCAATAAGTGCATATCCCTCTTTGCAGAGAAGGATTCCTGCTATTGTTCACCTTTTGCCTTTGACACTTAGAGGGTATTGTTTTTGTCCATAGACCTTTATGTCAATTGATGCTATTCACTACTTCAAGCTCAGTTCAAGATTAGAGCTCTTAAAGGGAGCCTTGCACTAATTCTTTACCATCAATCAGGGAAGTGTTAAATCTTCTCTGTTTCCTTCACTATCATGGATGTGACCATTCTGAGGAACTACCATCCACTCTTTGACACAACTTCACATCCATTGAGCCCCACAAAGCGCACAGAAGACATTCTAGAGCTCTTAAAGGGGACAGTCCAATTTATAATTGAGAACTCTCTTTATTTCACATTTAATCCTTGTTATCTAGTTCTGAGGACTCACAGTGAGCTTATCTTTTATTAATATTCATTCCTACTCAGTGGGGATTCAACAGTTCCCTCAAACTGGAGGCAGTGGATTATTTCTGAAAGTAGGCCTACTAGCATATACTAAATAACTACTAGTATATACTGCATACTGTTGTTTTACTGTGAATGTTGCTTTTGCTCACAGTTGATTAGAATGAGCAGATTTGCTGCCAATACCCGTGTATTTTGTTATTTTTGACTCATTTACCTCCAAATCCAATATAAACTTAATTTTGGTTTATACTACTCTGTGTGTGAGTCCATTTTACAGGTGAGATTTATTTGGGTCACCAGAGCACGGTGGTGTCAGTAGAGGGTGGGCGTTCAAAGAGAGGTCCAGTTTGACAGCCCTTAAGGGGTCACCTTCAGTCCATCATGAATGCTGCTTCTTGAGTCATCCACCTTGCTACCTGTCTGCTACTCTCTGCCAACCCCTCCAATGGCTTCTGCTCACCCAATGAATAAGATTCAAAATATTGATCAAAGAGAAAATCCGGATGGCTGCAATCCTTAGATCCATAAAACAACCATCTTTATTCCACATATCAGTCCATAAAAGAAGCAACTCATAGTGGGGAAGAGAGAGGGACCGATTGATGCATTTCACAATCTATTTAGCTCTTACTCATATGAGTAAACGCTAAATACAGAGTGAAATGCATCAAGCGGTCCCTCTCCCCCACTGTGAGTTTCTGCTGCATTTATGGACTGATACATTAAATAAAGATGATTGTTTTATAGATCGAATGAGTGAAGCTGTTCGGATTTTCTTTGTGATCAGTTGTTACAGTTGCAAGCTGGGCTAGAGGCCAGATACTGAGCCTTACAGTGAGGGCCGACCTGAAGCAATGTTCTACTTGTTCTAAAATGCAAAATACAAACATCAACCTACAAAGTCATCCACAACTCTGCCCCAAGCTTCATCACCAACCTGGTCTCAAAATGCCAACCAAACTGTTCTCTTTGCTCCCCCAAAGACCTTCACTTCCTCCCAAGCTCTCCTCCAGGACTTCTCCGGTCCAATCTGTCTGACTATCTCCCACACTATCCACCCTTAGATGATCACCGGAACCCCATCTCTTTAGAGAAGTCTGTCCCATCTCTACCTAACTACTGAACCTTTATTTTCGCCATCAGCTCATCCCCACAGTCATTACACTTTGTACCACTTGACCCTTCATTTTCAGGGGTGTGGAAATTTTAAAAAAAACTACTTGTCCAGGGACTAAATCGTTGTCCCAATCTACTTGTCCCTCATTTAAAAACAAAAGGGGCTTTATGGCGACTTAAACGTATTTTTAACATTGCACTGTTTATCTCCTCCTCCCCTCCCTGCCCATCTTTAACACCGCACCAGGGGACTAGCAGGGAGGAGATACTACAAAGTATTGACCACCATTTTCAGATATTTTTCAAAACTTTTGAAAACCATTTACAATTTTTCTTCCAGTTCACAATTATGTGCCACTTTGTGTTGGTCTATCACATAAAATACCAATAAAATACATTTATGTTTTTGGTTGTAACATGACAAAATGTGGAAAATTTCAAGGGGTATGAATACTTTTTCAAGGCACTATAGATGAACAGGAAAATCAACCCCAGCATATACAACACTGGTCATACTGGTGCAATGTAGTCCAGGCAAAAGTGTTTAAAGGTTAACACGGCCACCATTAGAAATCGTGTGGCCCCATACAACCTGCCTAAAAGGGCCACTCTCCCCCCAAACACACAGAGTGTCCTGCAGAAGCTGAGGATCAGGTAAGTAAAAGTGCTTTTCACAGTGCCCTAGGCATAAAAATGTATTTACCCCTTGCAGTGTGGATGTAGCCCCACTGCAAAGGGAGGCCTTTTTTGTTTTCCAGAGTTCAGCTTTAATATACAGCCTTCCTTGCTGGAGTCATTTCATGATGGTGTGACAAGCAACTTTTGTTTTGAAAACAAAACATAATCTCATATATAGTTCCTTTCTGCCGGTGCCGGAATACCTGGCTTTTATTTTTGAAGCATGGAAGGCCTAATTAGACAGTCATTAATCCCCCTGAGATTATCACAAAAAGCTGATGTTTTGAACAGTCCCATTTTCCTGTCAATCCTCCTAGAAATATCAGCAGAGAAAGACAAGTTCTATTTCTATAAATCAATTTAGCTATTTCTCATGTCTAACAGTTTAACTCAGAATCCACTTTAACTGGTTTCTCACAACTCTACGGATGCGAGCAAACTCTGGCTAATGGGTTAGTGAAGCTAAAAATAACATTTCATACACAGTAGACCTTTATAGAGGTATTCAGAATATATATATATATCAATACAGTGCCTCAACCATGTCAGTGCAGAATTGTAGTGCCAATTCTGCAGTTAAGTACATAGGGCTGGAGGATTAAAATGGATGCCACACCATTTCCAAACTGTGTATGCTTTTTCATTTCTTCTGTCTCATTCAAGTAACACTGGATGGGACAAGAGTTTAATAATAATTGGCAGTGGCCAAAAATCTCCTTTGAATTCAATGTGTTTTTGGGAAGAGTACTAGTGTTGTTAGCTGATGGGTTGAACACTAACAGGTTAGCTAAACTGGGCACAGGTGCTTTGTACATAACATTCCCCATGATTAAGCTCCGAGGGGCGGAAGGGAAACGCATTGGGAGCATGGCTTGGCAGGAGACCAGGCTGAGACTGCCATTCATTCCAATACCAGTGGGTCTGTATAGATGTGCGGTCTCATGGGATCCCTCCTTTGCTTTCCTATACATAACTTTAGTTATAGAACTCTTTTTATGGAAGTGTTTACATTTGCAGCCATGGAGAATTTCAACTACATTCAAAACAGGAATATGAATGTAGGGGACATATTTAAAACTGGGAGCAAAAAAACCTTTGTTGGTATTGAGCACGGATTCAAACCATTTAGACATCAGATGGAGAAACAAATCCGTGCATGGTGGGATATAGCTACATTGGATAAATATATTGAAGAGGATATAAACCGACAATGTGATGCTCTGTTAAATCTACATAAATTATACCACAGTGTATATATTAAAAAACAAGTTCACCAAAAAAAGTCCCAAAGTGGTTAAACCAATATATCCACTTGTGAAATCCAGTATTCAAAGGTTGCCTTCACCATCCACCGCGTGCCACAACCATACTCATGTGCTTACTAGATGCTGAGACCCCATATAAAAGGCGGTCTAGATTTGCTTGCAATATGTCATCCAGTCAGGTAATCCCCAATCTTTCACAGCAGGATGTACAATCCACCCACAATGGTAGGAAAATCACTCGCAGGCATAATAAATGGAAGAGGAAAGCCTCATCGTGCAGTATATTCAAATTGCTTTATTAAAAATTACGTATCGTACTTATAAAAGTAGAGACAGAAAAGCTTATAACAAAACCAACGCCACCCAACAGGGTCAGTGTGTTGACGTTATCGCTTGGCCCTGAAGAGGATATAATACCAAGAAGGTTAAGGTGGGATGTGTCAATCCAATGACGGAATAGGTGATAAATATCTGAATGATGAATGGTCCGTTTTTTTCATTACAGGAGATTTTTGAGTGCTGCCAATTCTTATTAAATTTTTTAGTTTAATGTGTTTTTGGGAAGAGCACTAGTGTTGGTAGCTGCTGGCTTAAACACTAACAGGAGAGCTAAACTGGGCACAGGTTCTTTATACATAACTTATTAGACAGGACAAGCTATAACACTTCCAGGGTTGAACTGCAAAAGTCTATTTTTTAATAATTAAAGCAGGGTAACAAATAGTAGTTGTACTCATCTGTGGCAATTTGTCAAAATCTGTCACTTTTGTGGAACACTTTGGTCTACATGGGAATGTAGAGAAAAAAAATAAAAAAACAGCATGTGACATAAAAAAGGAGATTTTCTTTGTTAAAACAGAATATCAAGAAATGTTAATTGTGCTTAAGCCATACTCTGAAAGATTTACCTTTTGTAAATGTCTGTTATACAAATATAAGTACATCCTAGCATGTGGGTGAGCCTAGGCACTGCTGTGTCTACAGCTACTGTATATAGCTGTATATCTGTTGTGAGAGAAGCACAGCTGCCTTGGACTATTTGTTTCATGAGATTTCAAGTGAAATTGCATGCTGTCACTACTGTGCAGCCTGCTGAAGAGGAATCTGTACTTGAGGACCTGCACTGTGTGCATTTCCATGTTTCTGCTCTTTTCTGTGTATGTGTTCTTCCCCAGCCTTCACCAAGATGACAGCCTGCACACAGCAACACAGTGCTGAACAAGGCCTGGTAAGTCAGTAATGGGGACAAGATCAGCTGCAGGAAGCTTATAGGGAATACTGGTGACTAGGGCTTTGCCCACTGCTAAATCCTTATATGTTGCAGCACATGGAAGGTTGGGCATTGCCTTAAATATTAGTAGGCAGTAAAGTGAGACTGTCTACGATGCTCTAACTGGTACAGTACATGCAAGTTACATCAGAGAGGGGGACATCATAAAATTGTCTGATGATTTGTTTATAAATGATCAGATCACTCTGTGTATGGACAGCTTTAGGACATCGATGCATGTAATTGAGTAGGCTTCACCAAACACTTTCTTTTGCTTTTACTGACTTTTTGCTTTGACTGACATCTTTCACTGACATCAGTTTTCATCTTCCAATAATATTCTATTTTTCTCTCCTATGTTTAATCTCTTTTTACACGTGAAACAATTATTTTTTTATGTACAGTACATTATGTGACTTGTTCACAGTGTGAATGTAGGAAAAAGGCACATGGGATTTGCAGTAATGCAGAGTGCAGTGCTCTTGAGTGTCTGTACTGACCAGAGATAACTGGGTATTTGGTTTTCTCTGGGTTTTATATTTCCAGATCAGGGCCTAAAGCTTGAAGGCTTCAAAGTGTCTTTGGTGGGACGAAACCTTTAATCCTGTATCCAGGTCTTGCTAGAGACCTGCAGGTTGGTGTGGGTGTACAGGTGTGCATACTTGTTATAAGCAAGAAGATGGCTGTAGCTCGGGGCCCTGTTAGGAGAGAGCTGTGTGTTTCCAGCCAGGAGGGAGGTGTACTCCCATTTGCAGACAGAGGTGCTACACGCGAGGGACTGCACTCCATGTTGGAGAGTTTCTATGTCCATTGGGCTGAATGAGTTGAGGCAGCTATGTGAGTCTAGGAGACTGAGAGAAAGTCTGGAAGACTGAGAAAGCCAAGACAACTAGGCAAGTCCGTGGGACTGTGGGAATCAGTAAGTCTCAGAGAAGTGAGACAGAGTCAGGAGTGGGTCCATACAGTAGGGAGCTGTAACTAAAGGCTAAGTGAGCCAAGGGTGAGTTCAGAGAGCCAGGAAATTCAGCGAGACAGTCTGAGGGGCCAGGGATAAGAGCAGTGATGCTGCTAAAGAACCAAGGTGATTTGGTATTATTGTCAACCTGTTTGGTTGTGTGAAACTGAAACCCCTGTATGGGCAACTGTGTTTTGTGAACTTTTCTTATCAACTACTTAATAAAAGTGGGCAGGCAAACCCTTAACCCACAGGTGTTGACTGGCATGACAAAATGCATCTACCATTGAGCTGAACAATCCCCATATCACAACACACACAGATGCATACACATGCATATGCTGTTTTACAAATAATTATTTAACACATGACAAAGGATTCAAAGAGCATACAGGTTAGCTAAAGAGACAGTACAGCAAACAACTTGCTTGCTTTGGGGCTCCTTTTGTCCGACTGAAACATCAGACTGATCCATACAGTAGATGAGTCACTGCTTATTGGGCTCTGTAAACAATGGACTTTTAGCATAGCTGAAAGTGACACGTTACATAACACATAAACAGACATCACCTGCTGGAAGAAACAGAAAACTGCTTAAAGTGATGTTAAACTCAAAACCAAAAATATAATATATCGAAGCTTACCAGTCATTAGATGTGGCAGTTGCATCTGTCTTCAATTTCTAACGCTTTTTCCCTCTGTTTTCACCTGGTGATTTGACCAGTAATACACCTCCTGTATTAGAGTGCCCCTACTCTGGATAAAGGAGCACAGGGGGCACCTTTGGACAACAACATTGTTAATCTGGGTGGAAGGGAGTGTTATATGCACTAGCAGATCTAGATATATACTAACAAATTGAAGCCAAACTCCAGCTCCAGGTAAATAAAAGCTGATCATTGTAAGCATCCCTGTCAGTGATAAATGGTTTGTTTCAACCCTGTAACTGCTACATTTGCAGGACAACTTGTTCTTTTGAAAAACAACAGATTTACTAGCCTGAGCACCAGGTGAAAATAAAGGAAATAAAACTTAAAGAAGAAAACTAATGTAGCCATCACATCCAAGAATTGGTAAGCTGAAATATAGTAGATGTTGGCTTTTGGATTTAATACCACTTTAACATGTAATATTTAATATTTACCTGCCTAAGAAATAGAAATGTATTTAAAGAAAGAAAATATGTACAAAGCCTTAATTATTATTACTATTATACAGGATTTATATAGCGCCAACGGTTTGCTCAGCGCTTTATATTATAGTGGGAGACAATACAGTAACAATACAGTTCAATACAAGAGGGATTTGAGGGCCCTGCTCCTTGGAGCTTACAATCTAGGAGGGAGGGGTGAATGGTACAGTAGGTAGTAACTGTGGGGGATGGAGTGGTTGGAAGAGTAGAGGATTCGAGAATTAGCAGAGGGCGGGATAGGCTTCCCTGAAGAGATAGGTTTTCAGTGATCGCCTAAAGCAAGTAGGGTAGGTGAGAGTCTGTTAGATTGGGGTAGGGAGTTCCAGAGGATGGATGATGCCCTGGAGAAGTCTTGGAGACGAGCATGGGAGGAGGAGATAAGGGAGCTAGAGAGTAAGAGGTCTTGCGAGGAGTGGAGTGTACGGTTTGGGTGATATTTAGAGATAAGATTGGTTATGTAAATTGGGACATTATGCATCCCAAACTCCCATAATAAATATATTGAGTATTATTCTTTTTAGTGGGTAAAATGAATTCACCTGGTTTGTGATAAGTTTTATGACGAGATGACAATCGCCTTGAACCTTTGAAGAACTTGTCCGTGGCTCCAGTTTAAACCATTTGTCCAGTCCTCCAACAGGAATCTCCTTTATGGAAAGTAAATAAAGAAAATAAATATACTTTTACATTTCTATTGTCCCAGGTAGTGAACACATTTAACAGTTTGAAAAAACTCAATGTAAAGCCATGGCTGCTAACATAAGCTCCAATAAATCTTTATACAGTAATCTGATAAGCAGTAATGGTCTGTTGTAGGGAATGTTTTAAAATTCCTCTCAAGCGTACACACATCAATTTCTGATATTGCAGGATGAGTCATGCTACTTATATTACAGGCAGCTTTCGTTCGGGCAGCAGTAATTAATTCCTTCCTGTTTACTTACATTAATGGCGATGTTAAGGCATCCTAAAAAGTCATCCGCATTGTCCTCTGCAGAGCCAGCTGTTCCATTTGCTCTCGCCGATTTCACTATCTGCTTGAAGTACCTGTGTAAAGATCTCAATAGGGTAAGCTGTTGCTCTAATCACTTTATTACAGGATGGAGAAGCTAAGCACATAATCAATCTGCACCTCTACAGTTCCAGTCAATGGCTTTACTAAATAGGTAGTGTGAGGATTCAGCCCAATGGTACCAGTTTACATAGACTTCAGTCAAGCCATAGGAGTATGCTTTAGGGGTTTCTTTATCCACCTTAGGCTACACTGGCCAACACATTGCTCCTGCAGCAATTATTTCTTTCAAGTGTGGACCTGGACCGTGACACACTCCAAGTGGAAGTTACATAGCCAATGGTACCAGTTTACATAGACTTCAGTCAAGCCATAGGAGTATGCTTTAGGGGTTTCTTTGTCCACCTTAGGCTACACTGGCCAACACATTGCTCCTGCAGCAATGATATCTTTCAAGTGTGGACCTGGACAGTGACACACTCCAAGTGGAAGATACATAGCCTGCCTGTATCTTAGTATAGGATGACAGGGGACTCAAACTGACTATGCTGGCCCGGACCAGCTGCCATGTTTAGCATGGTCAGTTTACTACCAGGAGGTGGGAAACTGGCATGATCAACCAGGTAATATGAAAGGATCATAACCACAAATATCATCAAAAGTGAGTGCCGCGTTAGTGTATAAATAAATAAACCAACTACCATCAATCACATGTTAAAACATATAAACAATAAAGTGAAATGTAGTACACAGCCACTTTTGAATGTCTCTTGTGTTATTGTGTCCATACAAGCAAAGAAACAATTCTTCAGATATTCCTCTACAACCAATATGCCTGATGTGTTTTCCTTTGAGTGAGTTCCACCTCTGTGCTCTTTTATACATTGTGCTTAACCACCACTAGATGTACTCTCACCTTAATATATTGGCCTCACATTCTTATGCTTGGTTAAATAATGCTTGTGTCCCTTTACCTGGACTGTGATCAGCAATCCTTGGTCTACCCGGTCTGCTCTCCTCAGTGTTATACTTTCTTCCCCCTGAGGAAGTCACATGCCTGGTGATGAAATGTGTAGGGGTGGGGCTTAGATGACATCATGATCTTACATGACAAGTGTGGAGTTTTAAACTAGCGATATTGCACAAAATTGATATACTGAGACAAAGGCTAGATATATTTGATGCGATTGAGCACCTATACAATGTGAATGAATTTATCTGTTGTTTGGGAGAAAATAAATATGTTTAAAGGATAAAACTCTATTTTACCATTTTATTTGCATGGTGTTGAGCGGAACAAAAAGGAGGAAGAGAGTTTAGGACTGAAGAGAGCCGTTGCTTGGTAGACTAAGGATTGCTGATCACAGTCCAGCTAAAGGGACACAAGCGTTATTTGACCGAGCATAAGAATGTGAGATCAATATACATTGATCAAAAAAATTAAAGGAACACTTTTTAATCAGAGTATAGCATGAAGTCAATTAAACGTCTGTTATATTGATCTGGTCAGCTAAATAGCAGAGGGGGTTGTTAATCAATTTCAACGAAATTAACAACAATGAGATGACCCCCAAAACAGGAATGGTTTTACAGGCCACTGGCAATTTTTTTCCTACTCATCTTTTCTGTTTTTCACTAGTTTTGGCTAGGGTCAGTGTCACTACTGGTAGCATGAGGTGACACCTGGACCCAACAGAGGTTGCACAGGCAGTCCAACTCCTCCAGGATGACACATCAATACGTGCCATTGCCAGAAGGTTTGCTGTGTCTCCCAGAACAGTCTCAAGAGCATGGAGGAGATTCCAGGAGACAGGCAGTTAATCTATGAGAGCTGGACAGGGCCGTAGAAGGTCCTTAACCCATCAGCAGGACCAATATCTGCTCCTTTGTGCAAGGAGGAACAGGATGAGCACTGCCAGAGCCCTGCAAAGTTACCTCCAGCAGGCCACTGGTGTTCTAATCAAACAATCAGAAACAGACTTCATGAGGTTGGCCTGAGGGCCTGACATCCTCTAGTGGGCCCTGTGCCCACTGCCCAGCACCATAAAGCTCAATTGGCATTTGCCATTGAACACCAGAATTGGTAGGGCCTGTGCTTTTCACAGATGAGAGTAGGTTCACCCTGAGCACATGGGACAGATGTGAAAGGGTCTGGAGAAGCCGTGGAAAACGTTATGCTGCCTGTAACATTGTTCAGCATGACCGTTTTGGTGGTGGGTCAGTGATGGTCTGGGGAGGCATATCCATGGAGGGAAGCACAGACTTCTACAAGGTAGACAATGGCACCCTGACTGCCGTTAGGTATCGGGATGAATCCTTGGACCCACTGTCAGACCCTATGCTGGTGCAGTTGGTCCTAGGTTCCTCCTGGTGCACAACAATGCCTGGCCTCATGTGGGGAGAGTATGCAGGCAGTTCCTGAAGGATGAAGGAATTGATACCATTGAATGGCCTCCACGCTCAACTGACCTAAATCCAATAAAATACCTCTGGGATATCATGTTTCGGTCCATCCGACGCTGCCAAGTTGTACCTCAGACTGTAGAGGAGCTCAGTGATTCCCTGGTCCAGATATGGGAGGAAATACTTCAGGACACCATCCGTCGTCTCATTAGGAGCATGTCCCAATGTTGTCAGGCATTCATACAAGCATGTGGGGACCATACAAACTACTAAGTAGTATTTTGAGTTGCTGCAATGAAATTTCAGAAAAATGGACTAGCCTGCTGCATCATTTTTTCACTTTGATTTCTGGGGTGTCTTTGAATTCAGTCCTCTGTAGGTTGATAATTTTAATTTCTATCAAATGATGGGGAATCCTTACACCGCTTGTATGATTAGGTAAATTTAGTTTTTGGCTCCTCTGTAGTCAGTGGAACAGAATTTGATTGCTTTTGGCTGTTCTTTATTCTGCTGGTTGCAGGCTCAACTATTCCCCCCTGTTTCTATTAGGTTATAGGAATACAATAGGTTGGAAGAGACAGACCCTGGGCTGAATATTCATACAGCATCAGCCAATCCTGGCTAAAAGGATGACCAGCAGAGGGCTGATGTGTGTATAAATAGTCTGGGGCCTGGAACAGCGGGGTTCTTGTCCTGGAGGTGAGGACCCTGCCTGAAGGGCTGTTGTCCATCCAGGCAAATCAGCTGAAGACTGCAGGAGTTTCATTTAGGTTCCAGCTCAGGGAGAGCTGGGGGACCTATCTCTAAAACTGTTCAGAACAGTTTGAAGGAAGTCTGCTGAGGACCTGGCCCAGAGGCTAACAGTACATGGTCTGGATGGCACTGGAAGGAGGCATCCATGTACATAGGAACACAGTGAGTAGAGGCTTGAGAAAGTGAGAAAGAAATCCTAGTGACTGTTGTTGCTTAACCCTGGGAGAGACTGCTCCACAGTTGCTAGACTAGGACTGTTTCCATAGTTGGGAGTCCCCTGAGCGTATCACAAGAGGCCTATTCTTAAGAGTTTAGCTACTACTAGAGAGTGTCCTCTGTTACAGTTTGCACTAAATTTGGAGTATCCCAAGCCTCACCCTATACCCTAACCAAATGTAATCAGCATTAAAGTTAAAAAAAACACTCACTGCCTGGGTATTGTGTTTAGAGACTGGAAAGCTGCCATGTACCTAGCTGCTTTGGGACCCAGAAGAGAATACAACCTGGGACAAAACAGCAGGAACGGTTCAGGGTCTGCACTACACAATGTATTTCTGACCTTTGGGAATGTAGCCACTATGCTTCACCTCTAACGAATCCCTGATTACAATGCAGGGAAACTGTAAGTAGGTTGCTGAAACTCTGCATAACATTATATAATATGGTGGGCAAGCCACAGCAATCACTTTTTTCTAAAAGTCATAGAGTAATTTGCCAATTGTGGACACCTAGGTTTTACAGCCACCCAGGATGCCCAGCAGTAGTGCTCTGGAAAAAAAAAAGCTGTGATCAGCTTCAGGGGGTGCCTAGGTACATTATAGCAAACTGTGTTTTTGTCCATATGTAGGAGATTTTACTCTTTCCATATGAGCTTTGCGTTTTACTGGTAGTTCTTCTTTAGGCCCCATGTACACAGGACACTTCTGAATAATGGAAACTGACTGCTGGAAAACGTAGGTAAAAAACATCTGTTTACCAGCGTTTGCATAATGCGTTTATGTGCGCTTGCGTTTAGAAGCGTTTTTTAAAGATAAGCACAAGATAACCTCCCAAATGCCCAAATGCACAGAATGCACAGAAAAGTGGCACATTATTAACTATTTCAGACTGTTTCAGAAAAATACAGAGAGTAGAAGCAGAGATAGCAGCATGTGTTGAGATTAGCTTAGGTGTGAGTTGCTCATAAACATTTCTTTTGTTTCCAAGGGTGGGAAAGGTGTCTGGTGGAGTGAGTCATTAAGGCCACCTGGCAGGGGGTCTGCATGAGGAAATTGAGGTGTGAATGGTCATTAACATATCTTTTGTTTCCAAGGGTGAGAGAGGTCTGAGGTGTGAATTGGTAATTACAATGTGTGACAAGCTTTTTAGGAACATCCTGTGTTTTTTGTTTTGTCCATCTGAGTACATTGAAAACGCTTTGCATGCAATTTTCCTAATGGAAAAAAGGCTCTGGACAGCATGGGGAACTGGAACAGTTGAAAAAAAATTTAAAACACAAACGCTTATAAATGTGATTTGCCACATTTTTACAAGCGTTTTGCGTTTGAAACGCTGATAAAATCGACGTTCAAAATCTGCGTTCAAAAAAATGACTGTAAACTCAAATGCCTGTAAACGACTGTAAAGGAAGATGTGTACATGGACACATAGGAAAACATTAAGGTGAGTTCAGGGGCTGCTGAAAAAAACGCTGAACAGCTCCTAAACGTGAGTTTATCAGCTGCAGTGTACATGGAGCCTAAGACTGCTTGATTTTAAGCTTGCACATTACTCATATTTCTGGCGAGCTTCGGATGCTGATGCTTGCCAAGTTCCAGAGATGTGGTCTATTTCTGCTACATTCTAAAGTCTTGTCACTGGTGACAAGAATGTCTGCTTT